CGGGCCGCCCCCCAGGCCGGGCGAGGCGCGGGAGGTGGCGGCAGGACGTGCGGGGTTCCCTGCGGAGGCCGCAGCGGCTTCCCCGGCCGCCCGCCCCTCCCTCCGCGGCCGCCCGCCCCTCCGCGGCTTTAACGTGCGTATATAACACGGGCAGGCTGCATGTAACAGACGGGCGTGTGTTGTATAGGCCCCGTGAGACCCTTTCTTTGTGCGAGTGCAGGTATAGCAGCACCGTGGGTAAGCGTCACGGTGTCGTACAAGGAAAACGGGGCCACATCTCTGTAGAAAATGCTTAGGTGTTACTGCTACTCTCACAACATAATGTGCTAGTACGAGTTTTGGGTTCATTTATAGTAGTTTAGGGACAGAACTAACAAAGCATCACAGTTTTGTGTTCTTGAAGAAGGCGATTGCCCCAGTAGCCTAGAGTAGGTAAGAAAGAACAAAACCAGTTTCACAGAATTACGGGTGTTGCTGTTTGGAGAATTTAGGTTTTAGTACCAAAGGACGCTGAGGTGGTAATAAAATGGCAGTATTTACATCTACGTATGTATGTTTTGCAATGTCTATCCTTTTATCCCAACTTTTAGGAAGTTCAAAGAAATCACAATGAATTTTTTATATCCCCAGCCTTTACAATATTTCTAAGCCTTGGTTTGTATAGAAAAGGTGCATGTTCTTTCTCTTAAGTTGGACTTGTTTCATGTTGCTTAAGACCACAAGAGCAACCGTAGAGTTTCAAAGCGCGACATCCTGTCTTGACAGCCATCAGCTGCAGGATGAGCTAAGAGAGATTACAGGGTAAGCAAGTAGTGGTGCTTCCTCAGAACGTTTCTAATGCCTTTTTTTTTTTTTTTTTTTTTTTTTTTTTTTTTTTTCCTTCCAGCTCAGAAACTCCCTAGCTGCAGTTGTTACCCTTGTGTTTAGTAGCTTTAGGTGGCTTGTTTATTTTTCCTTTTAATTTCTCCCTATTTCCTTTTTAATTGGAGTCTACATCAGTTACTGATATCCAGAGTATCCTGCAGCAAGCACTTCTGCAGGTTAACCAGGATTTCTCTGGGTGGGGAGAAAAGAAAGAAACTTTGTTTTTTTTTTGAACTGGCTACGTACTAGCTTCATTTGATACCTCTTAATTGCTGTACTTGGAGACTTAGGATCTTTTCCATAACACTTAGGGATTTTGTAGATTATACCTTCCCTGCAGGCTTCTCTTTCTTCGTGTTATGACTGTAATATCTCATGGCATAAAATTTAATATGTTTGTTTGTGTATCTAGCTGCTGGACCATGTGATGCAATTTAAGTCATTGTATTGGGCAGCCAGTTCCAAATATGGTTTTGATAATCTGCTATTTTTTTTCTGTTGTTGTTAAACATAGGCTGTTTACTGCGTAACTGACTTTTCTTTCCCTTTTTCTTTTTAAGATCATGAAAGTGATGATGATTCATATGAAGTACTGGATTTAACACAATATGCCAGACGTCACCACTGGTGGAATCGTGTATTTGGCCGGAATTCAGGACCAATTGTAGAAAAATATTCTGTAGCTACACAGATTGTAATGGGCGGAGTGACTGGCTGGTGAGAGAACATCACTTTTCATAGTTACGCTAGATATTTCACTGTTGTGTAAAGGTCTCTTTCCAAGGCTATTTGAAACATAAATGCATTTTTCACTTCTTTAATAGTATTTCCTTTTTCATTGAACACGACTATTTGTGCATGAATGGTTTCTTAACTCATCATGCTGATTTACCATTCCCAAGGCTTTTGCAGTATTGGTAAAACATGCCCGTTATCAAGGAGAACTTCTACCAGTTATTGTGCAAAGTATCAAAATAATAAAAAAAAAATCGAGAAATAAATAGAAACAGTGTATATGCTTTTCCATACAAAAAATTATATTTTCTTATTAGTATAGTTTTGAAGACCTAATTATGCTATTATGGCTAGAATGTATTTTACAGACGTGTTTTTTCGAAGTGAATAAAAGAAAGTATGTGTCAGAATACGCTTTTAATTCAGAGACCATTTTATAGAGACACTTTGTTTCTCTTACTTAAAGTGGAGCAATTTTGAGCACCTTAACTCTCTGCCCTCCCCTTGGCTGAAGAGAGTTACCCCAGCAATTTGTGGTGGTAGGTAGACAGAAAAAATGACAACTTAAATTGTGAAGTATGGCCACAGTCTTCTAAGTTTTATCAAGTTGCAGGTATTTAATTGGAATTTGTGTATTCTGCTTTTTCTAAAATTTTGAGTTCAATGGAAAAAACCCCAAAATATTATAGTAGTGCACCATTTAAAATAACATTATGCAAGAAGTAGAATGTAAAACAGAACAAAAGTGAAACTGCCAGGTACTGCTTCAGTACAACTTTGGAGACTGCAAATCACCTTACAGTCTGATTTGTACTTGTTCTCATAGCCTTTAAAATTATTTTTAGAAGGTTGGAGGCATATACATAAACTCAGAAACCTCTACTGAAAAATAAATGGGAATCTGCCATCCCTGAAAGTGGCTTATTGAAACATCTAGAAACGCTATATTTCTATAACTGTATGTGTTTTATTTATATCACTGTTCCTATGCAGGAAGAAAAAACATTATTGTGTGTGTGTGTTTGTGTGTGTATGTGTGGTCAGACACCAAAACAGTTGCCCAGAGACATGACTGAACTGTCATCCCTGTGGATACTGAACGCTTGCCTGTATAGTATCCTGAGCCACATTATTTTAGCTAAGAGGTCAGATCTAACTTTGAAATTGGCCCTGTTTTGGGCAAGAGGCTGGACCAGATGAGTCCCTGAGGTCCCATCCTGCCCAGACTATGCTGTGATACCAGTGTCTGTGCTATCCTCTACTTAATGTGGGAATGCTGAAGGACTACTGATAAGAAAGTAAATTCATAGTTGCCTTCTGTTAAAAATAGACCAAGGCCATGTCTGCAAACAGAGGGATCCCCTTTCATTAGGGATGCAACGTCTTTTTACCTGAAAACTATCAATAGTATAGTTTAAAAATGATGGTATAAGACATTCCCCTTCCACTTAGGAATAGTTACAATTACATTAGCATTTTATATTATTATATTGTGTGTCTTATATTAAGATGCTGATATATTTAGTAACAGCGTATTGCTCTTATGTATAGGCAGAGCCTGGAGCCTGCACACTGATTTTAGAGGAACCATCATTATAGGCATGAACTGTTAACCCTTATTCCTGTCATTTTACTTTAGAGATTATTTCTTAAAGATTGTTTGTATTAATGATTAAAAATTTTAGATAAGAAAAGCTTATTAAGTCAAAAACTTAGTAGTAATAGTTGTCATTGGGGATTCTGGTGTGTGACATTGTTCAGGAGACAACTTCACTGGACTGGGTTTTTTGTTTGTTTTGTTCTCCTAAGGTGTGCGGGATTTTTGTTCCAGAAAGTCGGAAAGCTTGCAGCAACTGCAGTAGGTGGTGGCTTTCTTCTGCTTCAAGTATGTAGAATTTCACACTTTATAAGTTGAAAAATGTTGCTTATTTACACAGTAGGGAAAAACTCAGCTGCTGAGTAAAACTAAAGTAGGAAGGCTTCCTATATATTTGATCTTTGTAGTGTTATCAGGCAAAACCTTCAATTTCAGCTGAAATACAATGTGCAAAAGAGACACTTCCAAAACTCAGCAGTAAATCACAATCTACTCAGATGTATTAAGTAGTTTGTAATAAGCCAAGAGAAAGTTGTGTGCAGAAACTCAGATACTATATGTTAGTTTGATATTGCCAGAATAGAGGCACTGCCTGTAAATCTGTAGTTAGAGCAAAGTATTTAATCAGCTTTTATCATAAATAGTTTGAGAATTTTATCAGCGCCTTAAGAGAAATACACTTTGACTGTTGCTTGGAAGACTTACATTGGGCCCATTTTGAAACCACACTCTTCCTCTTCCTCCCTGTGCTTTGTTTACTGGTTGTATCAATTGAGCCTCTGAGCCTTTGCTGGCTGCTACCTTCATTGCATTCATCCGTTCAACAGAATTTCAATGCTAAAATTTGGCGATGCTGTCTCTAATGTGATCATCTACATTTTTCAATCAAATAGCGTGATTAGGGGGAGTACACATTTCCCCGAAGCTCTCAAATTAGATTAAGCTAAGAGACTTAAGTGCAAGAAAATCTTACGTATCTTTCTGTAGGTTGGCAAGTAGTTTGTAATTCTTTTATTGACATTTTCAATGTGTTTGTGGAATTGTCATTTTTTCCCTCAAGTTTTAGAGGAAATAGTGGTGCCTTCTTAGGTTCCTTCAAAAATACACCTTTTTTGAGATGGTTTTAAAGATATATAGAGATATATAGACATACACACATGCACGTATATGTATATGTGTGTATTTCTTCTCTCCTTGTCAATGTGGCCCTAGATGTTCCTGAAAAATCTGTCCCACTTTTACTTGTTCACTTGACAGTAATGACTCTTAGAGCCAACCATCGATCAGGACCCTTTGTGGAATTCCTCTATGTGCTGCTGTGTAATGAAACCCAATACATAGCTTTATGTACTCTTACTTCTTTCATGATTATCTTCTCTGCAGAAATTTCTTAAGACCTCCAGAACCCTTGTTAAACATAACTGCTGCAATTCGATTCTTCGAACTGTTTGGTTTGAGGTGTTTTCAACAGGTATTAAGCCTATTTATTTCTCAGTTATTCAGAGCAGCATTGATGTAAAGAGACAAAGAGGAATCATTTTGATACGAAGCTTTGGAATAGTGATTTTCTTTCTACTGCTCTTTTGTGTATTGATGAGCTTTTTAAACCTCTTGGAAGGTTATTGGGCTTGTGTCTAAACATAAGGATAATATAAGAAGGATATTGAATTTGAAATTGTTTAAGATCATGCAAATGGAAGCTTTGACAGAATGCACTGTGCAGCAAATGAATCAATTTGACTGGGTACCCTGGAATTCTTAAGCACATGTATTTCTGAATCACCAAGACTTAAATCTTTATATATCTAGCCAATGGGTCCTGAAAGTCTTCATCATGCTTTAGCATTTAAATGCTTTTCATCTAGGAGACATAAAGATCAAAATCTGTCTTCCTGTAGAGCATGCTAATGGCCTTAAAAATTCTTTTAATGAAAATTCTCATCTAAATGTGATCTAGTAAATCAGCAAACAGCGCACAGAGCAGTGGCCTACGATTTATCAGCATAGGCAGAATAGTATATAATAGAGTATATAAGTATATAATAGATCCTGAAAGATCTTTCAGGAGTTCCTTTGAGCACAGGACACTGAAAAGTTAAAACACAGATCTCTAGATAGTAGAAAAGAAAAATTGCTTTAAATATGTTGTTTGCGCAGTTTCTTTGTTGAGCTGTAAAGTTTGAGGAGGTTTCTTTTACATAAAATAAGTTGCCATGTGTTTTTGAGTATCTCTTTTCTTAGGTGATCTCATTTATTGCATAGCTGAAAAGGAGTGTTATGTAAGAGGAAAAATGAGTTGCATATTTTGGTTGAGTTGTCTGTATCTGTAATTGAGTAAGATCAGATTCTGCTGAAAGGGAATGAAGTAAATGCTGTGGTCTTTCATTTTAATTCAGAATGTTTTGCATTTTAAAGCTGAGTCATAAATTGTACAGTGTAATTACATTTCTGTAGTCTTTAATTTTTTCATTTAAAGATCATATGTTGTGATTTTAATTTCCTCATGAATATGATGAATACGTGTTTGATGCTTCCCCTGAGTGGGCAGAGAACCGTTTCAGCAGCAGAACTAGAACTTTCTTTTTATCTGTTAATTTCTCTGAAGTTGCAGATTTTATTTGTATTCTTTTTTGCAGTATTGATATCATAGTTACTTGCTAAAACAAGAAATAGAACTATAGAAGGCACAAACCATGTATACAGCTCATTCATTTGCAAACTTGAAATTTAAAAAGCCTATTTTTCTTCATCATGCCGTGACTTTGTTTCAAGAAATAACTGAACAATGTATTTGGAAGTGTCAAAGCTTTATACAAGGAGCAAAAAGATATCTCAAACTTTCATAAATATTTAGAAAAAAAATCAATTTTAATACAGGTAAAGTAAAAATGGTCTCAGTATGAAGAGAATAAAAAATGCGTTACGTGATTTTCATTGTTTTTCTAAATCAAGATTTTGTTATCCTATCTTATGGACTGAAATTTTTCAATAGCTTGATTCAATTAACTAAGTATACTTTTTATTGAAAAAGACTTAGTTTTTCGTAAGGCCAATGCCCATGTAATACATTAAAGAAAGTCTAATTCATTTGTCAAAGTAAATATTAACCTAAATCCATGTATAGCTTTGAGTCCATAGCACACAATGTAGTCATCTCATAAGAGCAGGGAAGTGTGAACTCCATGTGGTCCTGGCATAACAAATTACTTTGAAACAATTGTTCCTAATCAGGGCCCAGTCTGGCTCTGTTTTTAAATTCCTGCATCTCTGCTGATGCTTTCATTGCTTTTTGTTCCTCAGGCATCAGACAAATTGCAGCTTTTTCCATTTTGTGCTAACTGTTGTTTAATCATAAAATTATATATTTTTTTGTGTAGCTGTTTGTGCTTTCACTAGTATATTTTGCCTCATTCCGTTTAATATACTGTAGATAGATTCAGTTCAACTCATTAAATTATTTACGAATTTAAAAATAAACAATTCAAAAAGCAAAACAAATAGTAAGATATCCGTGGGTTTTGTTTTATAGGTGGCTGCTGGCAACTGTGATGCTCAGCCATAGTGATGGTATGGCATCTCAGTGATGTGGGGAGAGAACAAGTTAATAAGAGAAAAAAAAGGGGGATTGTTTTCGTTGTTTTTTTTTGTGTGTGTGTTGAATATCTCACTTTACCGATGTATGCAGACTTTGAGGGAACTTTCAGTGGAATAGCCAGAAAAACAATAGTTGGAAGCTCCCCTTTTAAAGAATTTCCCCTCTTCTGGCAGGCTTTTACTTTGTATGGGGGGAATTGGTTCTCTTCTGTAAACCAGAGTAGTTTCATGGGTTACAGTGGGACTGTGCCAAATATGGTGGCTGAGGATAGAGCCTCTGGAATATAACTCTTAAAAATAAATAAATCAGCAAAAGTATCATTTCTAGCTGCTTCTTTGTATATTGAAGTTAGACATTTATGAGATCCTGATTTGGCAGCTGGTGTAGAGAGGTGGAGATTGCAGCTTATTTGAATGCCAGAAAATACTTGGAAATATATACCTTGTTCCTGGTGAGTGCTTAAGCAGCTGAGCACAGGGAGCGCTCATGTAACTTCAGTGTTGTTTGGGCTGTTCTAGTGTGGGGGAAAAAATTGCTTTTGAGGAAATTAAAACTCTTTAGTCCCTTCTTCCTGGGTACGCTTTTTGCGTTTTAGTTAATAATATCAATGTATTTGTATGCCTTTCTAGTATCAATCGCAGACTTAGATCTTCCCTTTTGATTCTGTTTTCTTTGATTGCTAAAAGTATTTGTATCATTCTCTATAGTCTGCATTCATGCATTTTTTAATTGCGGTTTAATATTCATTTTCAACAGTTCATTGAGATTGTAGAACCAAAATAGTTTATTAATAGGATATATGATATATAATGACCTCTATGACTCTTTAAAATACAGAAGAATGGAAACAGTAATGGAATGTTTTTTCCAGTTTATCTCTGTTCTCGTAGGAGCTAGGCTTAAAAATATTAATGATTTTTTAAGTTTTTTTGTTTATGTCAATTTCCTGTTTAAGCAGGAGGTTTTGTTTTGCTTTATTGAAATATAAAAATTGGAGGCTGACATTTGACTTGAGTGGGACGGTGCCTGTGCTTGCATATGAGGTTATGTATTTAGTGGGACTGCAGCCAAGCTTGACGTGTCATTGGTTCTGACTCTCGCTGCAGTGAATTTCAGGGTTTTTTTTTTTCTCCATTATGCATTTCATACTCAAAATATTCTCCTGCCTTGCTTATTTTGTACGTGCACACAAAAACTCAAAAGCAGAATGTAGGATTTTGACTATTAAATTCATGGAGAAATAGAGCGTGACCTTTGTTCTGTAAACTGGAGTTTTGTCTCAGCTGTAAATTGTAGCTATTGGAGGGCTAAACAGCTTAATTAAAAATTTCCACTTTATTTTTTTAGTACATAGACAACTGAAACATTTCCTGATAAATTACACTGATCTTAGAGAAATGTTTCTCTTCAAGTTCATTTGATTATATTTTTCTTGTTATTACAACTTTCAAGCTTTGTTTTTACAGTATGTTGAAGTTGATACAGATGTCTGTATTTAGATTTGTCTTGAGATTCAGTTCAGCAGACAGGCTTTTTTGAAATTTATGTGTTAGGTTAAATTCATAAAATAAATATTACTCTGGCATGTAACATTTATCTCCTAGCAGGTCATTCAGTGCCGGGATATGTTACCAGTAAAACTTTAAAACTTGCTTCATATTTTCATGCTTCACAGAAATTCCTTAATTTGCAATCTCCACCTTCCACCAGTGCCTGTATAGACTAATGGGATTGCATTAGACAGGGAAGGTCAAGAAATGTATTGCATCCTGAAGTGGGAAGCAAAGTATCTTTATAATAATTATTTATCTATATCTATATCTATCTATATAATAATAATAATTAATTAATTTTGCATTTATGCAGTGCAGTTTTTATTTTCCATCAAATTTTGTTTTTAAATGTGCAAAGATAGAACCTGGCATGTAACTTCTCATGCATCTGGTCTTTCAGGAACTCTGTTTCAAATTCAGACAGAATTTAACACTTGTTTCATTTTTAGTTTCTTTAGGGATCATAAAATTCTAATTTATGGTGAAATATGTTACTTATTTTGTATGACTGATACCAAACAAAATAGCTACTCTAACTTTTTTTTTTTTAACTAAAGGAACTATATGAAAATTCATTTTCATTGATGTGAAATATTTTCTTTAATGTCAAACCTATTAAAGTATATACTAAAGATCTGTTCCACAAAACTTGATTAGCTATGAATTTTACTTACAAGTATACCATTTACATAGAATGTTCTTACATAAATTAAATGAATTTGCCATTTTTTTTAAATTAAAAATTCTTAACTCTAAAGCTAGTGACCTATATTTATACTAGGAATTAAAATTACTGGTTGTCCTTACAGTTTTTTGTTCCTCTATTATTTTTTGCTATCTTTTCCTTTTAATAAATTGTTCATTTTTTACCCATTTTCTGAAGTTGCAGTAAATTGCCTTGTTTTTTTTTTTTTTTTTTTTTAAATAAGCCCCCATTTTGTAAATATTTAAGCGTGCGTTTCTTCTGTAAATTGTCTTTAAAGCAACTGGTGAGACTGACCACATGGGTCAAATAACGTGATATCTTACTGGTCTTACTAGGGTTTGATTCTGAAAGCACAGAGGGCAAGTGATGGCATGATGGATTAAACGTGCTAAAAGTCCCATTGATGTTGAAGCATTTGAGAGTTTGAGTTGAGATGAATATCAGTAATCTCCAAAAAACACCCATTTTGCGAATAGTGCAGGAGTTGTGTTCTAAATAGGTCATGTTATTTTTCTACTTACTGGCTTTGCACAGTGTAGAACATCTGAGAATTCTGTTGTATCAAACATTACATTTGTTGGTCAGTTTAAATTACAACAGACAAGATAATAGTTTTCAGTATTTCTATGGAAGTTTCTGATGACCCTGGAATGTCCTGTCCTAATTTAGGATTCTGAGATCCCAAAAAAAGATAAATGAAATTATTCTTTTTTTTTTTCCTAATTGTCCTATTAATGGGCTCTCCTCTTTCCACTTTTTGTGAGTAGTAGCATATACTTAAGGAATAAATATTTTAATGTGTAAATCTTCTATCAAATACAAAATAGAGAAGTGATGAAATTAATAAGCTTGCTCAACTTAGTCATTGCTCATTCTAACTGTAATTGCTGTAACTGTGGAAGACTTAAGTGCTTGAATTGTAGCGCCAATTTTAATATACGTTTTAAGAAATTTAGTAAGAACTAAGATACTGTATTTTGACTCTTCAGATGTTAACTACAATTGTGTTAAACACTCTCTATTTTTCTAGATTGCTAGTCATAGTGGATATGTGCAAGTTGACTGGAAAAGAGTTGAAAAAGATGTAAACAAAGCAAAAAAACAGCTTAAAAAACGTGCAAATAAGGCAGCGCCCGAAATCAATACTCTAATTGAAGAGGTAAGTCTAAGCTGATAAACTGTTTTCTACCAGCTAAGGTTTATGACCCTGCGCTGCCGGTGATGATTAGTTGCAGCGTGCAGTGCAAAACCTAGAAGCCATAATTCTGATTACAGCAGAAGAGCATCAAAGATAGTCTGCTGGCTGTATATTTTAATAAAAGCTAGATTTTTCTGAAGAACAGCCCACTGCCTATTTGTTGTACTGAAGTTCCAAAATGAGCTTACGTCTTTGGCGGCAATTTTTCTTATTCTGCCTCTGGGTGATTATATTCCTGACCTGTCTGATCTTCTTTTCAGAAAAAAATGAATCTAAAGTTAGTTGTATTTACCATGATACCATGTGGCTTTAAATTAGCTGCATGGAAATCTTCAAACTATTGACTGTTTTATCAGTTTGTGCTCCTTTTTGTTCACCTTCTATTTTATTCAGATTTCCAAGTTACTGCACTTTTACAGCTGATACATGGCTTAGATTATAGTTGCCTTTGCCAGTTAGGTTTAACGGGCCAGTGAAAACTAGTAAGCTCATGACGGGATAAAAGTTTTGAGTATTGTGGTTAAAACACACGGAGATGAAAACTGGATCTCCATCGTCTTCTGACCGCAAAAGCACTTGACGAGAAAAGATTGACCTCTCTTTTTGGAGGAAGCTACACTCCTTTTGTAACTAGAATTCTGTACTTATTTTTTTACTTCGTTTTTAGGCAGTTACATAATGTAATATGTGTCTGCAGGACCTGTCAGGTCCATGCTAGCTTGAAAAGGGCGAGTCTGTGATACTGCTCCAGGTGTCACTGAGGCCATTTCGCTCTATCATTTGAGGACAATCTTTTCATGATTAAAAAAAAACGTAAGGATGGTCAAATGCTTGGCCTGTTTTTACATACTTTTCATATAGACATATTACATATCTGGATGACAAGTTTGTGAAAATAATCTATGTTTCTTTGTTACTCTGAAGCATCAGTTGAAAGATGCTGCAAACTAAATTACTGTTCTGAAATTAACAGTGTAGTATTGCCAATTCCTGTGTTAACTCTATTATTAAAGATGTGTGAGCGTCAGTTTCCTCTCCACTGGCTCCAGCAGTTGCCTCAGACTTCTAACTTTACAGGTTTTTGAACCATTGCTTTTTACCTCTCTTGTTTTGGCAGTCCCGTTTCCAGACAACCGCGATAAAAAGTATTGAATGTCGCGGTCAGATGCAGGAGGTCCAGGCTTTCTTACAAATGATTTCTTCTTCTTCTCAGTCGACAGAGTTCATCAAACAGAACATCGTGGTGTCCAGCGGCTTTGTTGGAGGCTTTTTGCTAGGCCTTGCATCTTAAGGCGCCGGGCGCCTCGTGGCCGTGACTTTGCCGTCCGCGCGGCGCGGCTGCGTGAGCCGCTGCCACGGAGCGGCCGGCTGCCCGGGCCCTGCGGCGCCGCGCGCACGGACTAGCCGGGCACTTGGGAAGCTTGTCCATTTTAGCCTTTTGCCTTTCGAAGCTTGGCAAAACTAGGAGCTGCTCCAAAACTGTGCAGTGTGCTCGTTATCGCGTTCCTGGGCAGAACTGCTTCACCTTCACCATGACTCTTTATCTATGACCGTTCAAGATGTAGCATTTTAAAAATGTTAGTCTTGGAATGTAGATAAGTGACCACATCATAAGAAGGAAATCCCATTTCCATGTTCTGGGTTTTTTTTTTTTTTTTTCAAATGTTTATTTTAAAAGTTTTTTCTTCATGCTGTATTGTAAACTATCAATGACTACATAATGTATATGATATTGTAATTTTAGCCTCATGGCTGACCATGTTCCTTAGAAATCACTGCAATAATATATAAATCTGTAATACCTTTTTACAGAGTATTAAGTAATGAAGAATCATGAGCTCATTAAAGGCAAAAATCAACTTTGAGTCTGGCTTTTGTGTACATTGGGGAATAAGAGTCTTTATTTTTTAACACACTGGCATGGAGTGGAAATATTTGCCAAGATATTTGTGCTGTTTGTATGCTAAGTAAATACACACACACACACACACACACACACACACACACACACATATATGTATGTTATTTTTCCCAAACAGGTAGTCATGCTTAACTCATTGTTGCTCTGCCCAGAGTGGACCTTTTTGCCAATGTTACTTAGTTTGACTTATGTCCAGAGTGTGAGCTCTGAAGCACTAGGATACGGATCAGCTCCGCTTAGTGCTTATTGGAAGAATTTCTGTTTCCTTTGGAACCTGGGAAGGAAAAAGGGTCTTAATCTGCTCTGTTTGCTTCCTCTGCCTTTTGACAGATCAAAGCAGAAAACAAGTTCTAAGAGAGCTGGGAGGCATCACTCTGGATAGGCTGAAAGGTTTGAAGTAAGCTTTTCAGGTCATTTTAGTCATTCGTTACTAAATGATTCAAAAGAAGCCGGGAATCTCAAAATGTTCATGTATTCCTCTCCCTCTCAAGCCTGTGAACCCTTTAGAGGCAGAGTCCTCCCACCCGAGGAAACGGGCTGTTCGCTCTCCTCCTCCTTCTCCACTGCCTGCCTGGCTGGGAGCCGCTGCGGGAGCGAGCGTGGCTCACGTGGGCCTCCTCGGGGCTCGCTGCCTCGTGCATCTGCTGCTGCGTCGCTGCTGCAGGCGCCGTGGGGCTCGGTTGCATTGAAGCACCAAAAGCTCCAAAGGAACTTAAGGAAAAAACTCTTGACAGTGAAGGTGCCAGAGCCCTGGCACAGGCTGCCCAGGGAGGTTGTGGAGTCTCCTTCTTTGGAGATCTTCCAAACCCGCCTGGATGCCACCGTGTGCCCCGTGCTCTGGGTGACCCTGTGTGTGCAGGCAGGTTGGACTAGATGATCTCTAGAGGTCCCTTCCAACCTCAACCATTCTGTGATTCTATGATTTACTGGAAGTGGGAAATCTTTAGTCATTTGGGATTGCAGAAAAGAAGCATGAAAAGGTTCAAGGGCTAAAAAGTCCCTCTGCCCTACTATTCTCTGCAAAGAGAATTCTGAAGATGTTGACCATGCTCTTTTCTGCTGGAGAAGATGAAGCCAAAGGATTTTGGTGAGAGCTGCTAAACACGCAGTTCAGGGAGTTGAAAGCAGCAGGTTGTTCTGCAAGGAACTCAGGCGCTCAGGAGGGCTGTGAGACCGAAACGAGCAGTTTACCGTATGCAGGAGTCTGCCTGCATGTAAGGAAGAGCCTTCCCTTAGTGTCGTGTGCTCCCTGAAAAAGCTGCTGCTGTGACCTAGGAATATACCTCAGCGTTATATATAGGAATATACCTCATAGCAAAACAAAACAAAGCCAGCCTGGTTTGTAACAGCCCACAAGCTACGGTTTCTCCACAGGAAAGTTACTCTGCCGTTTCTACAGAAGAAAAGTTACTCTGCTATTCTATTATCATTATTTTAGATTCTAATTAAGGCAGTGCATAATGAACTGATTAGCCTAAATACACATAGTAAGGCCATTAGGAAAAGAAGCATAATGTTACGGTAGATGTAAAAATGGCTGAGTAAAGAAAAGGTAAGGAGAGTATAAATGAAAAGGGTGGGTATTATATTAGGATTGACCTTAAGTAATGCATTAAAGATCTGAAAAAAAGAGAGATTGCTGAATGCAAAATTTGCCAAGTTCTTTGATGATGCTGTTCATTTGGTTGCTAAACTATAGGGCTTGCTATAAGAAAATACAAATTGAACTGATAGGGTGAGTAAATGATGGAATGGTGAATACTGAGAAATACAAAATACTGAGACAAAGTAAAGCTTTTCTTACAAAAATCTCAACTTGCAAAAATCTGCCAGCTCAGAATAGACCCTTGGTATCACTATATACAACTATATGCTCTGTAAATTTATGGTCAAATGAATGCAAGCCATGTTTGGATTAGCAAGAACAGAATGGAGTGTAATGGAAATACTGTTTCTCGTGACAGGTTCTTTCTGGAATTATTTCAAATTTGTTCTCTTTGGAAATAAATAAAAAAGTAAATACAGTCTGAGAAAATGGAGGAAAGGATGACAACAAAGCCTGGTGAATAACAGATCACTTTGGGAAAGATTATATCCATTCTGGAAAAATGACAATTAAGAAGGAGAACCCATGCATGGTGTATAGGTAGAAAAGATGCTGCTGTATAAACAGCTACTGTGATAAACAACTGTTTATCAGTCACTTCTGAAAGCTGAATGCTAAGCTAAATGATTCACAAAACAAATCATGTGTCCTAGTGTAAAGCTCTGCTGAAAGTTTACTGAAAAATGAGTTTTGGAAGAGCCTGCTAATAACTGATCAATTCATTTTGTATATTCTTAATTAGGATAATCCATTTTTTGAAATTGTTTCTTTTTAGTTAAAGCTGTATCAGACAACAGGTTTTCATTTAAAGTGAGGTGAGCGGTTGATCAAAATCAGTGTGATTTCATTACTCAATTTTGAGAGACCACCATTTGGTTCAATACGAGGCTGTTTTTATTTCAGCAGCCAGACTGAACACGGAAATGTTGCAGTTTAAAGTTATACAGCAGATTCAGGTGTATCTATCATGAGACTGATGTTCCACACATTTGGTAAGTCTTGGAACTTTAGTTCTAAGAAATTTTGAAATGTAATAATTTAGTTTTAGAAATTTTGTAAGTCTCTAGTAAGTCTCCTTGCCTCAGAAGGGAAGGTGCACACAACATGAGTTTTGTTTAGAGAATTCTTTTGCGGGAGAAGCAATATTGTTATTTAAACCCGGTGTCTCTGAGTGTTTCATTGCATATTTAGCGTACAGGAGCGTGCAGCAGTGCCCAGGAGCAAAGCATCCCGCAAGGCAACCCAGCCCTTGGACTCCCTGCCAGTTCCTGGTGCTGGGACAGAGAGTTCAAGGAAACCGGACATCAACTTTTTCAGTAAGTTCCTGCTCCTGAAGCACTTCTCACACTTCACAAACTAGTTCCCTGCCTACCACACCAGAATGTGTTTTGGCATGAGATACTCTCCTCTCTCCTGCTGGCGTGTTCTGCCCTGTGTATTTACCTCGACATTTCATGGGAGCGAGGATAGAAACTCGAGAGTTTTCCTCAAATTATCCCTGTATCCCTGAGCAGCTAACTGGGCTACTTGAAGCAGGACTGCTCTAACAGAAAAGAAAAAGGGAGCTGCACTCGGGGTATTTTACTGCCCGTTTGGTGGGATGTTACCTGAGAATGAGAATCTGTTGCCATACATCAAATCCCTGATACGAGGCTTTTCTGGCTTAACTGTGGAATCCCCCCACCAAAATCAATTGTTCCCAGAGCCTTAAGCTGTAAAAACCATTTCTATGTGTGCACACTGCACGTTTGGAAAATGTCTAATAGAAAATGTTAACATCCACAAAGGAAATTAATGAGTATTGAACCGTGCGATTCCCACCTACCGTAGATGCTTTGAACTTTCTTTGCAACAAGAGCCTGTCTACATAAGCTTGCCAATAGGCACTCACGGGACCTAGAGAATTAAGAACCAATGTGTCTGGTGTGATTCTTAGTTAAACGTATTCCTTGCTTTAAATATAAATTGTGAAATAAAGGATTTGCTATTTTCTCATCTCTTTAAGGGTCGACAAACTCCTACTGCAGCCAAATATACAGATTTTTATTTTCAGGTTTCAGGTCCTCTGCTCTGAGCCAATTCCAAATGGTTTGATAGATGTTACTCAGACAAAAATCTTAAGCCAAAATACATCTGAAAAAAAACCCAGTAAACAGGGAAAAACCTACAGTGGTATAAAAGGAAAGTTTAAAAACCAAGTGTTGCCAAATACTGTTTCAGAATCCAGTTGGGAAAATAGATGAATAAATACGAATAAGGGATTTTATATCGTTAATGCTCTTACAACTGTGTATGATTTTTAAGATTAAAAATATTCAGAAATCACTTTTTATTTCTATAATTTCGAGTATGATGCTTAGCTTACAGATTTATAAGCTCCTTGTGCCAGATGAACCGCATGCTAGGTCCTGCAGGAACTTTTTGGGGGTCTGCTTATACAAGTGAAGCTAAGCCTGTGCATAATTGCACAGCTCGATTTGTGAAGGAAAACAAAGGTAGAGCTGACATGGAAACTGATGAGACCATGGCTACACATTTTGATTTTTTCTCGTTTAATATTGCTGTAGTAATCTCTGGGTGGGTGGGGATTTAGAGTGCGCTAAGCAGTCTGTAGAGAATCAGAAAACCCTGGACTACAAAATATATTAGATTGAAAGGAAAGGCACAGAAGTGGAGCTCAGGTGTCTGCATGTGGGTGTCAAGCTAGTTACCTTATGCTTTGCTTAAATTGGAGGAAGGAAATGGGCATTTCTGTGGCAAATTTATCTTGCTCTAAAATTGACATCTAAAATGGATTGGCTGAGTTGGACCCCCAAAGTGGACATTTTTACCTGTTCTTTCTAACAGAAGGTGAGTGACTTGCTCATCTGTAGCTATTTAGGTGAGAAAAAAATCATGAAGTATGTTTGAAATTCCAAACATACGAAGGGTGGGCAGGCCACTTTCCAAAGGGAAATCATGCCTTCTCTGCTGAAATGAATGGCTGTATGGAGAAAGGTCAGTGCCTGAGGTTCAGGAAACCTTTTGACATCAGCCCCAAGCGGAGCAGAGTTCTCCGCAGCGAGTGGAGGAAGGGTGGGCTGGCAAGCTGGGCACATACACAGGCTCAAAATCACCCAACGTGCCGGGCTCAATGGCCACGACTTGGGGTACGTCTGGCAGTGCCAACAAGCAGCATCTCGAGCATTTCCACTGCACCGCGCTGGTTCGGTGTTTTCAACAGCAACCTGCTTGGTGGTCCAGAATGCAAACCCTTGCCCAAAGTGTGGATGACCCTGAATTAAGGGTACACGGAATGGTAGATCTTAAATTCAAAGGGAAGCTTGGGAAGTTGAGGA